CCGCTCCACTCATGTGCCGAAACTAACTAAGGTATTAAGTAAGGCAAAAGAGCGGCGTCTGAATCAGTTTGGTACGGCAGTTTTAATTTGGTGCGGCAAAAACGTTAAGTTCGGCAGGTGATTCATACGAAGTTCTTCTCATGTGCCGAATCAAATGCATACATTATGATAATTTATAAATCTTCCCATAAGTCCCTACATGAAATAAAGATTAGGTTCGACACACGGTGCGCCGTCTGAACCAGATGTCGCGCCAATGTCGCTACAAAGTCGAACCAAACTCAGTTTGGTTCGGCACATGAGTCGAGCGGCGTCTGAACCGGGCCTAAGTCGGTTTTAAGGATGGTTTTCAAGTCACTTGAAATTTTCTTGAATCGTTTCAACTTTCCGACTTTAATGAGATGCAAAGTAAAGTTACTTGAGATTTTACTTAGGCCTTCACACGTATTTTTTGGTTAAGTAAAACTTAGCAGCTCTTAAGTCTTACTTAACAGCCNTTGTCGCCAACTAGTTGGTTTTTACTAAAACAATTATTCCTCTCGCCCCTATAGGCTCTGAGTCAATAGTCCATTCGACCTTCGGCTTCATGGGCTATTGGCAGTCTTTACTCTAGAGCCTAAATAAGCTAAGAAATATTTCAAGACAAGTAAATTTAAATTACTTCAAGTAAAATAAAGCTTCACACACAACCGATTCTTTTTTACTTCAGGTTAACTTAAGGCTATTTTCCTGCGCAACATAATTAAGATTGATTGACATGTTTTGCCTTTCTCAAAGCTCAAGAAACCGCAAGTTCGTTAAGGCCCGGTTCAGACGCCGCTCCACTCATGTGCCGAAACTAACTAAGGTATTAAGTAAGGCAAAAGAGCGGCGTCTGAATCAGTTTGGTACGGCAGTTTTAATTTGGTGCGGCAAAAACGTTAAGTTCGGCAGGTGATTCATACGAAGTTCTTCTCATGTGCCGAATCAAATGCATACATTATGATAATTTATAAATCTTCCCATAAGTCCCTACATGAAATAAAGATTAGGTTCGACACACGGTGCGCCGTCTGAACCAGATGTCGCGCCAATGTCGCTACAAAGTCGAACCAAACTCAGTTTGGTTCGGCACATGAGTCGAGCGGCGTCTGAACCGGGCCTAAGTCGGTTTTAAGGATGGTTTTCAAGTCACTTGAAATTTTCTTGAATCGTTTCAACTTTCCGACTTTAATGAGATGCAAAGTAAAGTTACTTGAGATTTTACTTAGGCCTTCACACGTATTTTTTGGTTAAGTAAAACTTAGCAGCTCTTAAGTCTTACTTAACAGCCTAGTGTAAAGACAACCATTGTTTCAGAGCCCATTCGGGCTCGAGGAATAATCCTTAAATAGAGTTTGCAAAACGGATAAACATTTAAAAACAAATAGGGTTGGCCAAATTTAAGACCCTTCTCGATCTGCAGATCATTCTCAGCCTTGTCCTAAATGTTTTTAAGAACAGGTGCCGTTCAGTAGTCATAACTTAGCGGGTGATTACTATGTACAAGGATAAATAAGCTTTCCACTCCTAATAAGAAACGATGGAACCACTTTTTAGAAACGAAAGCAAAAATTACATACATTGAAATTCTACCGCTGTTCATGACATAACGGTCAAGCCTTTTAACTGAACAGCTGCTGAGTAAATGTTTATATCATGATGATAGACTTTAGACTTCCCGTTTTTTAAGCATATGTTTGACAGTTCTTCCACCAGCTTGGATAGAGCAAGCAGAGGAAAAACGCAGGATTAGAATTCACAAAGCCACTTTCCAGGTTTTTGCAAAATCTGTAAAAACTGTTTCTTTTTATTTGAATACCTAAGGCCCAGTTCAGAAGTCGTGCTTCTACCGTACCGAACTTAATTGTAATTCGGTTCGACTATAGCACGGCAGGAAAACAACTTTGATTCAGACGTCGTGCCAGAGTCGAACCAAATTCAGGATTAACTGATGCCTCGTAACAATTCTCCTCCTAACTCCCCGTGGGAACGCAATCTCGCCAAAATACATTAATATCATTTATGAATTTTGCTTAATGCGGCAGAAGCACGACGTTTGAATCGTTGCCGTGCCAGAGCCGTGTAGCACGGCAGCGCTTGTCGAACTTAATTGATTGCTGAACTTAATTCAAAAGTTTGATCAGACGCCGTGCTTCTGCCGTACTTTTGTCGAACTTGATTCTTGAATTTAGTTCGGCACGGCAGAAGCACGACGTCTGAACTGGCCCTAAGTCGTGCGAAAAAAAAGATTAATTATGATAACAAAGCTGGAAGCATGAAGAGGAAGGTTACGGAAGGGATCGATGTGTAAAACTGAGTCATCCATGAGGAAAAAGCAAAAAATAATATTCCACCGCGACAAAAGCTATTTGACATAAAAACGTTCATTTTAAGGAGCTATTGAGTCAAAGACCAAAATAATTAACCAAGCAATGTAGAGGAACTTCAAGTTCTATGTCACTCGAAAATAAAATTCATATCTTTGCGCCTGTAATATCCTCTATATATTACAACAAAAAGACTCGAAAAAACGTAAATATCGATAACCTGATCCTATATAAGATCTTTATGAGTAAAAAATGTCTCAAAATCCTCTTTTTTTAATTGTAGGAAGCTATGGACTTTATCTACAGGGAGCAAGGCCCAGCCGAGATCGCCGTAACAACAGTGCAATCGTTACTCGTTATTGTAAACATCATTGGAAACACTTCTGTTTGTCTCATCATAATAAAGAACAAAGACATGAGGTAAGTACCGGTATACCTATACTGTCCGCAACATTTACCGTTTTTTATAAGAAAATAGCCCGTAAACTTCTCACTCCAGAACATTATAAGAGCAGCAAAAGCAAAAAGTGAAAAGACAAAGTAAATATTGTTTTCGACGTTTTAGGATGCATTTCCTAATTAACCTTGAATATGGGGATCGAACTAATGGGCTCGCAGGTTGAAAATGCATAATCTCCCCTCAAGAAGTTTTTGGCGCGTGATCCGCAAGTCGCCCACAGATCATCACTGTTCCCCCTTCTTTTTTAACCTTTATACAGTTGACTCCAGATAACTCGAACCCTCGCTAACTTGCGTGAACCTCGCGCAAACTCGAACCATAGTCAATTTCCTCTCGATTTCTGGATTCATACTTCCACTGTAATATTACCCTCGGTTACCGTAAATGATCTAATAAACGCCCCCTCTCTAATGAACGCCTCCTATCTTATTAACGCCCCCCTAAGCTGACAAGTTTGTATTAAACGCCCCTCTCTAACAAACGCCCCCTGTCTAATAAACGCCCCCTTCCCTGAAAACCACACATAAACTGGAAACAGATGTATGCTTAATTAACACCGGTATGCGAGTTGCGTCTTGCTCAATTTCCAGTTCAAAGTGAGGATAGCGTTCTTTAATGTTCTTGATCCCATTTCAAGCAATAACTAACTCAGACATAGAAGAGGCCAGCGACGAAAATACCATGGTGCTCGACGAGGACTCGGATGTTGACATTGAGCTATAAGAACTACCAGTACGGTACCCTTTTCCGCCACTTTGTATGTACCATATACCGTTATGGATTTGTCGACGGTTTAGACTTATCAGCGGAAGGACTTGACAGTCTGCTAAAGCTCTGTCATTTATATTATTATAATACCGTATTTAGGTTACCATGTTACAGTTATTAGAATAAAACGCCTCTCTTTTTTAAACGCCTCTTATCTTTTAAACGCCCCCCCCCCCCCCCCCACCTTTAATTTAATAAAAACCCCCCGGCGTTTTTTAATCCTTTTCAGTACTCGAAAACTCGCCCAATAACCCAAACCCCCCCGCAACTCAACAAAATTTTTTTTTTTTTTACATCACACCCCCCTACATTTTCCCCCTATAACCTTTAACCCACTCTAANATTGAATATATTTCAAAACAATCGTGTCAATTCTTTGTCTTTACATTTTTGTCAGTCCACTGGTAAATTCAAATTCAGTGTCTGTCCCTGTATCTTAATCATTCTTTGTTGCTTAATTCCTTTTTCAAAATATCAATCTATATCTCTTGCTGCTCTGAAGAGAAGCGAGCATGATACTTGAATTCCCTCCACATCCATTTGCTTACGTGCTTGTGTCGGGCTATCTGCTTCGAACCCCCGAGTAACTCGAACTTTTTTTCGATTTCCCTCGAGGGTTCGAGTTATCGAAAGTCGACTGTTTCTAGAAATATTTAGTCTAATCCATATCAAATATTCCGATTTCGGAAAGTTCATATTAGAACTCCTATTCTCGGCTTGCACTGTCACGCAATGGAAAATAAAAATGGAAACCATTTAATACAGAAGGACTAGAATCTGGGAAATGAAAAAAGATAAATATACAAAAATCCTTGCCAAGAGTCAGGTCTGTGAAATATTTCAAATCCGAGATATTGGGAAAAACGGTTTACCTAAATTTATAAAGCTTTGTATGGAAACGCCATGTTGGTGTCCCTTTCAGGAACACCAATATGGCCGCCAGATACCAACAGAAACATCTGTTTTCGAGTTTTCCTGCTAATGCGTGAATTCTTCGCTTGAGGAACTCATAAAGATTACAATAATATTTATTCTGAGACAAGGAATGTTTAGATTGCAAAATCTCCCAAAATCGGTAATGTTTTTAACCCACATAACAGCTTTCCCGGCCGCCAGCTAAATGCCGCGTCACGGGAAAGCCTTGAAATTCAAGCGTCCTCTCTCGCAAAACGAAGAACCCTTTCGAACCAAACATTTGTTTATGTAAAGATGTTTAGGTACTGTAATACCTCGTGAAAGTAGAAACTCGGAAGAATCCATACTTTCTTAGTTTGATTTTTGGTGACGTCACGTGCAACCCAAGAATCACAGATTATCGAGTTCAAGAGGGGCTGTTCGTAGTCTACATATGATCCTCTTGCCTAAACTCATTATCATCATGTTTCTTTAAATACCCTTTTCCGAGGGGAACTAACTAAGACAACTTTCTGGTTTCCCCAAGGACATCAATAAACTATCTTCTTATGAACCTCGCCATAGCAGACATGACTGTGGCCACATTTTTAGCGCCTCGATATATTTTTATCCACACCTTCATTCACCCGGATGGGGTTGCTGGGAATATTCTCTGCCGGCTACTAACAGGAGGAAACTTCGCCTGGGTTGGAGCTGGCGCATCAGTATTTACCCTTGTCACCACAGCAACTGAACGCTATTTTGCTGTGATGTATCCTTTTGAAAACAAAGGAAAGCTTAGCAGTCGTAAACTTAAGGTGAGGAAATACAATGTGATTAAAGGCTAGTGATTTTATTTCAATTTAATTTTTACACTCTCACAAAAATATCAATACCGGAGGGAATTTTGCCTGGATTGGAGGTGGCACATTTTGACACTTGTTGCCGTAGCAACTGAACGCTACTTTGCTGTACTTCATCCCTTTGATAAAAAGGGGAAGTTTAGTGCTCGTAGAATAAAGGTATGCTCATCTCTTTTGTATTGATTTGCGTGTACACCATTTTATTAAAGCAAATGAACTCTTTCTTCTGGAGTTAGCGTAAGTGGTTCATTGACTTTGTCTACAGCTAATAGCGGAGCTCTCTCGTGCGCGAGGCGCGCGCCTGTGGAGCACAATGGGTAAGAAAATTTGGTAAACTATTTATCCAACAAAATTTGGTCATGATGTAGCGTACGCCCACCTGTAAACACAATTCACGTAAGCTGATGTCAAATGTCGCATTACATCTTGGCGAAATTAACACTTTTAAGCCATCCGTATGAGGATGAATTGACAGCTGTGAGATAAAGAACCAGCCGTTTTTTCCCTACATGTAAGCTGATACAATATGACACACCAACATGAAAATGAAAATGAAATGAAACTTCCTTTTCACCGGCCAGGGCTGTCAGTTGGCTACCAGTAGTTTAAAGTTATATGCGCTAGTCAAATTATGGTCAAATGTCAGCTGTCAAAACTGAACATGTAAAGACCACTATCAGATCACTAACAACGCGGGCTCACATAAACGATCTGACATTTCGCCCCATTAATCCTCCATTACAACTCAGAGTGAAAAATGTCTTACTCACACTCGCAGTTAACAGTCCGTTTATTCGAAAATTCACCAATCTAACGAAGGTCAATTGGCAGCTGTCAAACTAGAGCATCCGCTGACCATCATTACCTGACCGTATCGCGGGCTCAGGTATGGGCCCCCTGAGTTGAAGTTATCTGCTGACAAGTTACTCTTTTCAAATGATTGCAGGCTCAAGTTTAATCTTTTTAGCGCATAGGAAATAGGAAGTTGTGTTTATGAGCCGCACTATTAAACTTTAAATTTCAAACTGACCTTGAACGCGAGAATTCAGCCAGCTTTTACAGACAGGGAAGTTGCTTTTGACCTTTCTCACCATGGTCACGCGTTGGTCACGCTCTACGTCTAATTTTTATGTTCTGATTAGTCAAAAGTTGACAGGTGAGTTCATGCGGAAAATTTATGCAGCATCTTGAAACTTGATTACTGATAGCTGAAACTGACAGAGTTTTGTGTAACGTTGTGAATCAGTGGTCGGTTCTGGCAATTCTACTTTTTGCAAAAAACGCGGATAACGAAAATAAAAAATGCCTAAAAAAGTCAAAGTCGAAAAGAGTCGACTTTTTCCCGGCCCCTTTCTTTGTTTGGTATTTTTGGCGGGATGCACTCGACTGACAGCTGTTAAAAAATGGCGGGAAATTTTGGGCAATCGTGGCATTAATTTACTAGCGTTTATATCTAGTTGCACACTTTGTGTTCCGGCAATGTTTCAAGATGTCGGATCTTTACTTCAAAATTTAGATGGACAAGAAATAAAAAAGGGGTAAAACTTAAGTCTTCAACTCTAAACAAAGGTCATCTGGTAATTTATGTTCGATCTAAACCAGTGGATCCACGAACATTTCCTTCGAAGAAGAGGAGATAATTCCACCATCAGATACTGGCTTTTAGCAGGTCGAGAACGTTGAGAAGACGTACCAGAGGACGGCGACAAGAACAAATTTCAACCCTCCGCCTGGGCAAAGTGCGCTGGCCGTACTAAAACGACCAACCTTCACCACCACCAAGAAGGGTCAAGTGGCGTAGAGGAAACCGCTTGTAGTGGTGGACATGTTGCCGTCTGGCGAAAACAGAGAAAAGTTCCAGGTGTACCTGTCGCTGACCGAGGAAACGTCGTCGATCGATAAAGTACAGAGGCTACTAAAACAACAATTAGGATTTGAAGTGATTCTTCTGGATGCAAATACTTCATCGACCGACGAAGTTTCTTCGGTCAGCGACAAGGTGCATCTGGAACTTTTCTCCAATTTCGCCAGACGGCGACACGTCCACCATATGAGCGATTTCTAGTGGTGGTAAAGGTCGGTCGTTTTTGCATGGCCACCGCACTCTGCAGTCAAGGCGGGGGGTTGAGATTTGTTTGTGTGGCCGTCCTTTGGTAGGAAAGAGGTACCCCAAACCCTGTAGACTGTACTGCGGGCACTACTGAGCTAACTGAGTTGGCAGTCATTCGTTCTCCGTTGACTGAGTACGTCTTCTCAAAGTCCTCGACGTGCTAAAAGCCAGTATCGGAGAATTTTCTCCCCTTCTTTAAAGGAAATGTTCGTAGACCTCCTGGTTTAGGACGAGCCTAAATACCATGGCCAGAGTACCGTTGTTTAGAGTTAAAGACTTAAGTTTTACCCCTTTCTTTATTTCTCGCCCATCTTAATCTTGACGTAAACGTCCGACATGTACATCTTCAAACATTGCCGGAACACAAAGTGCGCCTACATATGAACAATTGTAAATTACAGCGGTTACAACTAACACGCGTCCTTGAAGGGTTTTCTCTGTCTGTTTAAACCTGAGTTTTCGTGGACGTCAATCAACTGTTTCCATGGTTTTCCACGCGCTCTGACAGCGAAGGTTCCCTCATCGTTGAATGAAGGGCGAATAATTTGGAACGACCACGGCTTTTGAAATTATTTTATTAAGATGAAGGATTACATTATTTTGAAACAACGAGGTCTCTGTGAGCTGAGTGAAATAGCCAAAACATTAATTCTCTATAGTTTACGTAACGGTTTTCAGGTTGCTTATTTATTTGATCGTATGAAAACACGGGAGCCGTGGACGACTGAATTGCTAAGAAGCTAGTATAAGTTCATAGAAACAAAAGATATCTCACCGAAAAGGGAAAAAGTTTCCTCTGAATGGAGGCTGTTTTCGAAAATGAATTTTACTACTTATCATTCTTTATGTTATCGAATAGAAACCAGAACTAGCAAGAACTCAGACGAGTTGCTTGTCACTTACAGTGTGTAAATATGTCGATAATTTGAGTTTCCTCCGAAAAACACTCAACAAATTCTTTCTCCTCGTAATCTTGACATAAAGCGGTGTCAGATTCTGCCGCAAAATATTGCAAAGACTGCTGAAAAGCCGACATATTCTTCCGAGTGCTCAAGAAACGGAGAAAGAATCTTCTCTAGGCCAACGAGTGAAAAACCATGGTAACGGTCGATTGACGTCCACCAAAACGCAGGTTTGAACCCAAGAAAAAACCCTTTGAGGGCGAGTGTTAGTGGTAACCGCTGTAGCGTTACAATTCACTGCTCACAATCAACTGTCATTTTTGACAGTTGTCAGTTGAGAGGACTGAAGATTGGGATTCCCGCCTTTATTTGACAACTGTCCGCCCAAAAAGACCAAATAAAGAAAGAGGAAAAAGGTCGACTTTTTTTTTTACTTTGAAGAAAAAGGCAAAAAGTTGAAAAAAACTCGAGAAATGTCTCTTTCCAGCTTTTTTTGCGATTCGTGAGATATAAATATTACTCAAGAAAGTTGCATCACTTTACATGACTTTATATCGAAGACAAATCCTAAAAATATCCGGCTTTTCGTGAGAAAAGGGGGCACTTTTCTCAAGTTTCCATAATGGCGACTGAAAGTTGAAAAAGGGTTTCCTTTTTTCAGTGTTGAGTATTGAATACAAATAAAGATCTTGATTTTTAGGCGTTTTTCATTTTCTGAATCCGCGTTTTTTGCAAAAAGTAGAATTGCAGGAACCGACCACTGATTGTTGTGAAGCTTTGAACTGTCCTTTTCCAGTGGATGCACAAAATGAAATACAGCTGCTAGCAACATTCTTAAGTTATTCATGGCTGGTTTGTTTGTTTGTTTTTTGGGTTAAGAAATGCACCGCTTGTCAAAGTCATCGGAAATCCGATTTCGGATGGATCGCTTTTACTCACTTCCCCTTGCTTAAATCGTATTATAAAAAGAGTTCAAAAAAGTCTCAAGCGATTCTGATGGCCTTCAGTAGCTGCATCTTGACTGGTAAGCCTGAGTTATTAATTGTATTTTACGTTTTTTTTTTCTGGTTTCTTAAAGTCGAGCGTAGTTTCTGCGCCAAGTTTATGTACAAGACAATGATGTGACCTAAAGTAGCATCAGGTTTGAGGTAAGCTTATAGATTTTTAAAAAGTCTTAACATTTTCTGACCACAAAATTATACAAAGAAATCGTTCCGAAGAATACAATGTATTTAGTTATGATTTTGGCTGTAAAAAGAAAGCTGTGAGCGATATTCCTGCCTCGCGGCTCACCTTGATAGACCTTGAAGTAAACACCGGGAAGCCGGCTTAAATCTGTAAGGTTTTTGAAGTCTATGAGCTTATACTTACCTGACTCATGATTTTCAGAGACACTTACTCTCAAAACTTATCTTCGTGAATGAAAATTGTTGTCTCCGTACATGTTTCACCAAGTTATATTTATTTTACTGATTGTTAGTAGTCTCTTTCTCAATTTAATCGCTGCGCAGGTTGTTTTCAGTCGAACATAAAACAAAACACTGCACGCAGGACTACTCAAAATGCCGCGCGTAAATATCACATAACAAAACCATAAAGGGAATAAAACCTAAACATAATAAGATCTCTATCATGTTGAAGCTTAACTCTGTTAATAATCTTTCAAACGGCTCTGACAACTCGGACTGCAAATTTGGTGCTTGACAAAAGTGAGAACCCATCCGGCTGGCCATATAAGTGATTTTGGGAATTTTTTTATCGTTTTCACTAAATTTCACTTAATTATTACCCTGCATATCACATAGGAGCAGATTTTTCCGATAAAACAGTCCCGGTATTATGGAAAATTCTCTTCATGAAAACGTTTTATAATGTGGTCAATTCTATAATCTTTTGCTCAAAGTATAAAGGAAGCGCGTGCTTCGATCGTCGTGGATATTGAATGAGCGCAATTTGTCCTGCAAAATTGTGAAAAACTGCGGAATTATAGGTTTAAATAGGGCAAGGGAGAACAAATCCTGTTCGAGGTCTGTATGATATAAAACAAGCACACAGGCATAGTACTGTTTTCCTCAGACCTTCGGGTTAATTATGTACAAAAAACACTGATAAAAATTATATTTCAAATACTATTTTACACACCACCAGATTTGTCGCCAAGATTTACTTGTAAAGTAAACCTGTAGAACACAAATCTTTTTCGAAACACAAAAAGACCGGCCTGTTTTATTATTATTATTATTATTTTGGCCTTCCTTTTAGACAGATGAATGCAACGTGTAAATTAGTTGCAACTGAGGACGATAGTGTCTTGCATAAAATTATGTTTCGGAGATCTCTCCAACGGAGTGGTTGGAGAGACTATGAATGAACCTTATAAAAATAAAGGCAGTGAAGGTGGGTGACTGGGTTTAACTTCTTTTGTTTGGGAAGAATTTGTTTTCTAGGCCTAATTTACTGTCAAATCGAATAAGATTGCTATTTTTTGGTGTACATATAAAACTGTTAACTCGATGTAAAATTTGTGTCACTCTTGAACTGTCAAATTATTCTTCTCTAAGGAATTACTTTCCCTCAAAAGTCTCATGAATGTACCTTAAAGTTAACTGATTAATGTTTATTGCTTTATTAAAATTATTAATTTATTAACGTGAGCTTCGCTTTTAGCCCTGGCTAAATCTACATATTATCTTTTGCGTCATCATGGCACACGGCCTTGATGAACTAAAGCACTATTTACACAACGATAAAAAGTTAGTTTTCATAACATTTAGAAGTTACTCTTAGTATCGTGACTAGCAGATATACTCTGACAGCGAAGTAGAATGAAGATTGAAGTACTTTCACTGCATAATAATTCACGTGATTACGCGAGGTACGAACCCATTTCCTGGCCGATGGAAAGCCCCTGGTAAAAATTGTGCGCATCAGCAAAAACGTAGTGTAGAAAACACAGAAAAGTTAGATGAAACGCGAAATTGGAAAGTTGGTGTTACCGGGTATTGGTGTTACCGGGCATTGCAAAGCAAAGGAACGCGTGGCTGGTGCAAACCCTACCTTGGGGAAGCAGAAGTGCCAATTAACATTTGTAAACTTTTGGTTTTGTTTCACTCATTTGCTAGTTGGTCTGGAACAGCATGTCATGAAACATTACAATTTTGTATACATATTTCAGATGACCATTGCTTGCTCTTGGATCTTTGGGATCGTCATCACTTTTCCAATGTTCCTCTCAAGGAACTTTGACAAGGAAAATGATTGGTGCGTTTATACTTGGTCTGAAGAATGGATGGGTAAAACCTATAGCATGGTTTGGTTTCTGTTTACAGGATTTTTCCCCGTTACGTTCATGATCGCTCTATACTCCCAAGTCGTGTACACTTTGTGGTTCACACGTTCAAAGCCAAGAGGAAGTCATCATTGTGTGCGACAGGTTCGAAACTAAATTAAAAACAAAATGCTATATACCAATTTATTCATGCAGGAAAAAGTTCTCTTTTTGGCCATGCAGAAATTTCTTTGTTAATCAATTTTGTTCGGTCGAGAGAGCTGGATATTCCCTGGACTTGGTACACTTGCATTTGAGCTGCCAAAAGCCCCGTCTTTAATCCACACTGTACCAGTTTTCATTGATCGCCCAGTCGAATAGTGCCACTTGACGCATGTTTAAAGTGAAATTTTTCGTTTTATTCAACGTGCTCCTTTGTAATAGCGCTATTCTTAAGCGCAAGCCGCGACAAAACCAATCATGATTCTTTATTTTATCATTGTTATTTATCTTGTTATAATAGCTCCCGATTTCACAGTGTAAGTTCTGTCGAGATAAGCAATGAAGAAATGCATGCATAAATCGAGAAATCATACCTCTAAAACCTCTACACATTTTTCGCATAGATGAGCCAATCTCCTTGTTAATGTCAAGTTTCCAGTAAAATCCTCCACGTTTAGTTATATTAGAATCGAAATCCACGTAGTTCGTGTCAAAAGCTCGGGGTGGGCAAATGCCCGACCCCCGGGCCACGCAAAATTTTATAATGCCCCACCCCCGGGACTGTAAAGGTAGGCAAATGTTCCCCAGGGGCTGGCCGTAGCTGGATTTGTCTGATGCATAAACACACAAAAAAGAACTTGGCCAATATCCAACCACCTTGACCTCACCCTTGGTCAATAACGCATGTGTGTAGGTTTACGTCACCACCGTATACTCACCCGCACCCGCCTTTATTCTGTTCCAAAAAAAAAACAAGTTGAAATTTTTAATTTTTGTTTTCAGGGTGTACTGAAAGTACGCAAGCGGGTCACCTTGATGGTCATAACAGTCAGTATCATTTTTGGAGTAACCTGGCTTGCAGACACGTTTAACTTCGTCCTCCACTTCTATAAGCCTTCCTTCAATAAGCTGTCATTCGCAGCAACTTCCATTTTCGTCCTGTTCAATTCTGCTATCAATCCTATTTTGTATGCTTTGATAAATCAGCGATACAAAGAGAAAATGAAAGGAATATTAAGATGCAAGTGCCGTCCTGAACCAAACGGGATTCTGCCGGTTAAAACTCATAAGGACGTGGAAATAGCCGTTATCTCCTTTCACCAAAGCCAATAAACGGACAAACGTAGCTAAGGGAGTGATTTCTGATGATTTAATTTATTTAAAGAGTTTGCCTTAATTAATATCTGTCGGGATTTGTAAAAACGTGGCTAAAGAAATTTTAAGTGCATTTTAAAACTATTTGACATCTAAGTGGAATGGGAAGCAGTTAAAAGTGACCAGCTGAAGCTAAACAATGACATCGTTATTGCTGGCAATAGACAATAAAGTTCTCTGGCAGAAGTAAGAGGATTTTGTGGTGAAATAAACAACATTTGAAACGTCCAGAAATTGTAATCTTTTAGTCAGTCAAACCGTGAGGCCACAGCTCAGTGTTGGCTGAAAACAGATTAAGACCCTGTTTACATAGAGTGGGGGACCCCGGTCTAGTGGGGTAAGTTTCTTTTGTTTTCACGCTCTGGGGGACACAAAACAAAAGAAACTTACCCCACTAGACCGGGGTCCCCCACTCCATGTAAACAGGGTCTAAGAATCCACAATCTTTGAGCACAGAATAGGCTTTCTAAGACAAAATCACCTAAACTAAACACTCACGAAGCGTTTTTAGGCTTGACACAAAGTATTCTAGTAACATGAGCTCAACCGCACATACCTGAGATTTGTCTGTCAACACTTTCGGTAAACCACACAATAAATGACTTTCGCGCCAATCACAACACTTCCCAAAACCACTCATAATATTTCCACACTCAACACGGGCAAAACATCGTCAAATTACTCCGTAAAATTTTCGCTTTCTCCACATAATTCGTCACATGGAACGTTTCTCGACTCACTGACAGTCGATTTATTCAAGATCCCGGATGTAAACCAGCGGTTGAAAAGGAGACATACAGCCCCCGCCTTCCACACAATTTTTTACTAAGTCTTTGGCCTGGTCAGAAATCAGCATGAATTTCCATTTTGCCGAATAGATTTCAACCCTACAACCTACTTTGTGAGGCCAAAGACTTGTTACTGCTAACAACAAAGCTCGCAATATCCAATCTTTCCGTCTCAAGCCCGGGATGTAGCCCGAAATGAGACGAAATACCAGAAGATATTGGACGCAGCAGACTTTGACAGACGTGAGAATTGTTCCTTCATAAGGCTTAATAATGGCTTCCGGAAAACTTTGCTCAAGGCAGCCAAAAAAACTCTAAGACAACCCACTACTATGAGAGCCGAGTTAAGTCTAGTACGCTTGCTGATTTCAAACTGACATACATAGAGAATTATGGGAAGTTATCAAAAACATTTTTTTGGGCGGGGTGGGGGGGTGGGTAATAGGTTAATAGACAATGAGAAACTCATCGAAGTCTATCTACTGTTGCCTATCCGGTACCGATTAAATAAATAAAAAGAAACTATGAAAAAAAAAAACATGCTCCACTACAAGACTCAGTCAGAGGGTATATAAGAGAGATTTCTGTAGCCATGTTTTTGTAGCCTGTGTACAGCCGCCCCTCTCCTCCGATTTTTTTTGAGGGGAGGGGCGGCTGTACACAGGCTATGTTTTTGCAAATCCAGACAGATATGTATTTAAAACGTGGCCGTAAAAACAGCAACTGGTTGGTTAATTAGAGGCCAAGCTTTTACCTTTGAGTTGGAGAAAAGGGCTTGAGTCAGTGTTGGTGGGAATTGCCGGGTTTGCTGGCAGACTAGGTAGTGAGGGTCAATAGGGACCTTACGAAACCACGACGACGACGGCAAAGGGAACGTCAAAAAACAATTGGTTTAATGAGCAAAACAACAACTCTGCACGTACATCCCGCTTTTTTGTACATTTCTTTGCCTTCACTGCACAACTACGACGTGAAATGGCCATATTTTAAGTTTACTTGGGAACAGGAACGGCAAGGCTATAAATTCTACCATTTCTGTCCGAACTTGAGCGCGTTCCCCTCTCTTCAGCTCCAGCTAAAATCCCCTTCTTTTAAGTAACAGGGCGAATTATAGGATAAACGCGAAAAAGTTTAAAATGATGCGAAGTCTGTTTTTCAGCAACGTTTTCATGGACGTCGCCGTTGTCGGATAGTAAGGTTCCTCTTAATCAAGCCAAAAAGTCATCAAGAATATGCCATACAAAATAAGATGGGACTTTTGTTTACGGTTATCAACTCTACAACATACCATACACGTGTATTAGATTGAACCGGAGAACTTTTTGAAACAATTGCAAAGCGGAAAGCTAAGTAGCAATAATACTTGCAATATTGAAATAAAAAAAGAACTGTTCATGATCCAAAAGGTGAATTAGATATCGGTTTGGACTTGTCAGGGAGGATGATCCTTGGAAAGAGTTTTCCGATAAAAATCTACAAGGATTACAAGCTTTGGCGTCCTTTCATATTCAGTGATTGACACTTTTATAATATGTCCTGCTTCGTGTAAGATTAGACACCTTTAGATTCTAGGACGAGAACGACTACGAGTACGAGATCTCACTTAACGTTTTTTCGTGTATTCTTGAATAATAGACACCCCGGACAGCTTCACTGTACATTTTTTTTTTCACCAAAAAAAATAGCACTTACTGTTATCTTGATTATAGGAGGTTAAGCTATCTCCTCGCCGCAAAATATTAACACCTATAACACTTTATAACTTCTGTCCGCTAACACGACATTCTGACTAAAACTCGCAGTAGAATGAAGAAGACTATCATGTTTTGCCGCCAAAATGACGCTAGTTCACGCCCTCGCACTACTCAGTATTGAAAAAATCTCGTCGTCGTACTCGCACTCGTCTTAGAATCTAAAGGTCCCTACTAATGTTGTTACTGCGAAGAAAGAAACTGATATTGAGAGTACTGCTTCCTGACAGGAACAATTAAAACGTTAAAATAGCCATCCTCGTCCTTCCGATTCAACCAAGTCAATAGGTTGCCTAAAAATGACGTAAATGGTGTTAATGCTTTCCACAAAAAGTTAATTCAATCAAAAAAACAGGATAGTTCAGTTCCTACTATACTACTTCTGATATGTTTAGGTTTAGACTTATCAAATAGTGTTTTCACATAACGTCACGGCGGCCATATTGGTATCCCAAAACAATGAAACGGCGGCCGTGTTGGTGTCCCAGGCAAGGTGGGTTAAAACGCGTGCAGCAATCGAGTTGTGGATACAAAGAGAAGTTATCGTCATGTATGTAAAAAGGTTAAGTATGGTGGTACCTTAACAACTGAAGCACTCAGGGATTTTGTTTGGAAGCATTTTTTGAGGTTGGAAATGATTGGAATGAATAATGAAACAGTTATTGAATTCTTAACCGCGGCAGTGTTAGCTCGGTCGGTAGAGCGCTTTAATGCAGTGCGGGAGGTCGCCGGTTAAAATCCCGGGGCCGCATTAAAAATCGGTCTCTTATAACAACTGAGAAATGAAGGTCTTCCCTTTGCACTGCGAGCGGCTAGACCTTCGCGTGTTTCGGATGACCACGTAAAATTGCGTTCCCGTACTTTTGTGCTAAATAAATTGTCACTCAAATAAAGTAAATTTTTGAGGGGGATTTTTCTTTAAATGAAAAATCGAGGAGGGTGATGCCTGCCGAGACCCCTGATCTGCCAAAACATTTTTCTTTATCTTATATTTAGCAATTAATGGATGAGGCTGAGTAGGATATAAAGAATTAAGCAGATCGAGGAGGGTATTATCTACCGAGGCCGAAGGCCGCGATGGATAACACCCTCCGATATCTGCTTAATTCTTCATATCCTACGAAAGCCGAATTCATTAACTGCTTTATTATTCATTCAAAATAATTCCTAGTTTAAACATAGCTGAAACATGCTTATCTGCTGTATCTGCATCGATGTTAAGTTCATCTTCGATACAGTAACTGTACTTCTTGGTTTGTCCAGCTCCGCAAATATTCTCCAAAAAGCAGATGTCGCCCTCCGAGTTGTCTTCTTGCTGTTTATGTCATGTTTTTAGTTATTATTTCGCCTAGTTCCAGCTGTAGTTCTTACTCTTGAAACGAGTGAAATGTCCGCCATTTTTTTTTCACAACCAAAACCACTCAACCTCGTCCTCAGGTATTCTCGGTGAACGGTGCCTTAACCTGTAGAGGGCTGCATTTTTTACGTCATTTCCTCGTTAAACACAAAATTCTTCCAAATTTGGTCATCAGTAACTGGTTATAGTGAATTATCAAGATGCTTTTAGCCAATCAGAATTGGGGAAATATTTTGACTTAATGTGAAAGAAGATCATCACAGTTATAGACGCAACTTTTGCTGTTGCGAAAAGATGCCTGAAAAAAATTCAGGCACAGGATTCGAAACCTTGACCTCTGCGATAACGGTGCAGCGCTCTATCAATTGAGACAACAAGCGAACTGGGAGCAGGACGTTGAATTGGTTCGTTATAAACTGGTCAAAGAATATGGGGTCATGCAATAATTGAAAGACGACGAGAATTTCAGGCACAAGCCATAAATTGCAAATGTTTCAATAATTTAGGAGTTATACGCAAGAATTTGTAATTGTTATTTGCAGGCTCCTGTTGGTGGCTAAAAAAAAAATGCATTCATTTGAAATACTCACCAAGAGGGGTACTCTAGATTTCGAGTGACGGGGATGATCAAAGGATGTTTTTGGGTTTGAAATTTTCTATTCCGGGTTTTTTGGGGGTAGGAAAATTTGGCAAGTATTATTTTGGTGGTTTTATTTAAGTAACGATGTTTTGGGTGTCCCAAACAATCTGAAGATTTTCCGCATCTACCAGATGCGGAAAAGACAACTTCAGATGGTATGATGAATAAACACATACAAACATTCAATTTCTAATGTTTTCATTTTTCATGTCATACCATTTTTAAATGCTTCCTGAAAAATTTGAAGGCCTAGAAATTCGGCATGGGATTTTTCAGGGGTTATAATTTTTGGCTCAGGGATTTTTTGGGATTTTGAGTTTTGCCCCCATGCGATCGTCACCGTCACTTGAAATCCGGAGTACCTAGGCCCCGTGAGGCTTACACTAGGAAGCTCCAAACGTTCTCTTCTGTAAATAAAATGTTGCTTGTGGCGCCATGAAACTATTATTGTTCTAACTAAAACGTTTCACTTACGGGAAATTATCTAATGGATGCCCGGGGCGTTTATTTAATTCAAGGGGTCTAAGAGGAGGCGTTTAATAAATACAAGACGTTTAAAATGGAGAAGGGTTTATTCTCATAACTGTAACAATCACAATGAAACTGATGTGCTTTAGGAATAGCAGAATATGTAGTCCATCAATAGCTCACTTCGGAATAGAGTGCCTGGGACCCAAACTAATTAGCGCGCGGACATTTATGGGATTGTTTGGGGGAACAGGTCGAGCAGCCACCTTGAATTATGGCGAGACTCCCCTGGGCTGGTATTTTTTGTAATACCAAAGGCAAGACTTATCCAGCTGCATTTTCTTTCCGGTTGTTTTGGCTCAACGAAACCATCTCTGAAGCTGTTTCACAGTGCATTCTTTTGTTTTTTTCTCGAGGTAAAATCGCCCCAGGCACATCATCTTTCTTCAGCTGCACATTTTCATGTTTCGTTCTTTTAATTCCACCTTCCGTTTTACTATTTCGAGCTGTTTGAACCCCGCTGAAACACTTCACTTCGCTTTCCGCCATGTTTGTTTACATTTGCGTCCCCCCAAATAAATCCATAAATGTATGCGGGCGCGCCTAGTTTGGGTCCCAGGCTATCACTCTTTTCCGAAGTGAGCCACTGATACGTCTCAGCCGTATAGAGATTCATATCGCTCTTTCAAATCTTAACCTCGTTGTCAGAATCCTCGCTCAGGATCATGGTTGTAAGTCTATGTTTACTTTGAACTTGCCATTGAACAATGCGACAACTCCTTGTTAATTGAGCAATTTTGCTCCTTCTTGCCAATTGCTACAATTCTGGAGTGATTGTCACGGGAGCGGGACGTCTATTAGAGAGGGTCGTCTAATTACAAACTTAATATAATGATTGTAGAGGGGGCGTTTTAAAATAAGAGGTGTTTCCTTAAGAGTGGGTGTCTATTAGATCATTTACGGAACATAACAATTTGCTGGTTGACTGATCGACATGTTTAGGGGAACGAAGAGACATGAAGACGACATTTCGTAAGTACTACCTAAGATCAACATCTTTGACCTATTGCTTGGTGAAGAGAGCTCAGTTGTGACAAGAGAGGGTAAAGGAGCTGGCCCTTTTATCCTACATTATGGCTAAAAACTGCAACTAAATGGATTTTCCGGCGTTTGAGTGGATACGAATTAGCCGGAAATGAAATATTTCTGCGGCACGGGAACAGTGGGGACTGGGGCAGTTGAAGTGCAGTTTGGTAGAATGGAGCGCCATAAAAGTGATGCTTATCACGTGGGAAAGCATTCTAGGCCGACACCTCGTCTAGCTCACGTTATTTTTTATTTATTTATTTATTTATTTATTTAAGTATATATTTGACTTACTAGTGACAGTTCGAGTTTGGCAAGAGTTTCTTAGCTTGTTTGCGTTTCCTTAAATTATTTAGAGTTTGCAGTCCTTTGTTGGAATACTTGTTTAGTAAATAAGGGCAAAAGGCCTTCCAGCCGTGTACCCTTCGTAGGATGGGCTTTTCAGAGCATGAGCCATGGATCCTACCCAGATTTCCTGCCGAGTTTTTTTCCCTACTGGTGTTTTTTCTGGCCTCTGTTCTGACAGTAGTCTGTGTAAACTGTCGCTCAGCTCTGTTCTAGTTTTACTGCCACATGTTTGAATGTAATAGAAGATGTTGTATAACGTATTGTTATATCTGCAGTGCTCGGTCGAAACAGCCAAAATAAACCTAATGGTTTTCTATTCATGTTGTACTGCGTAGTGGAGCCGAAATAGCAGTTTTTAATCAGTCTGCTAGAAGATACCAATTCTTATGGAGGCAGAAAGGAACCGTACTCTACAAAGGAGTAGCCTTTGTGCTTCGCCTTAAAATTCTACTTGAGTATTTCTACTAAGAGATTCTACTCAGTTTAGGCTAATTTTTGAGCCAGCTACGTTAGTGTTGGAATATCACACTATAGAGTTTGCAAAACGGATAAACATTTAAAAACAAATAGCATTGGCCAAATTTAAGACCTTTCTCGATCTGCATAATACTTTTATTAGATCATTCTCAGCCTCGTCCAATAATTCCAAAATGTTTATAAGAACAGGTGACGTTCAATAGTCATAACTTAGCGGGTAATTGCTATATACAAGGATAAATAAGCTTTTCCACTCCTAATAAGAAACGATGGAAGCACGTAGCAAAGGTAAATTAAGCTAACTTTTAATTCAGTATTATATTAGCCAATGAATAAACAGGCTTGTGCAGGCAATTGGTTTTTAGAAACGAAAGCAAAAGTTGCATTGAAATTCTACCGCTGTTCATGACAGGTCAACCCTTTAACTGAACAGCTGCTGAGTAAAATCTACGTTTATATCATGATGATAGACTTTAGACTTCCCGTTTTTTAAGCATATGTTTGACAGTTCTACACCAGCTTCGATAGAGCAAGCAGAGGAAAAACATAGGATTAGAATTCACAAAGACTCCGAGTTCCAGGTATTTGCAAAATCGGTAAAAACTGTTTTTTTTTATTTGAATACCTAAGTCGTGCGAAAAAAAGATAATTATGATAATAAAGTTGGATGCATGAAGAGGAAGGTTGCGGAAGGGATCGATGTGTAAAACGGACCGGAGTCATCCATGAGGAAAAAGCAAAAAATAATATGACATGTGACATAAAGACGTTCATTTTAAGGAGCTATTGAGTCAAAGACCAAAACAATTAACCAAGCAATGTAGAGGAACTTCAAGTTCTATGTCACTCGAAAATAAAATTCATATCTTCGCGCCACCGTGTAATATCCTCTGTATATTACATCAAAAAGACTCGAAAAACGTAAATATCGATAACCTGATCCTATATAAGATCTTTATGAGTGAAAAATGTTTCAAAATCGTCTCTTTTTTAATTGTAGGAAGCAATGGACTTTATCCACAGGGAGCAAGGCCCAGCCGAGATCGCCGTAACAACAGTGCAATCGTTACTCGTTATTGTAAACATCACTGGAAACTCTTTTGTTTGTCTTATCATAGCAAAGAACAAAGACATGAGGTAAGTACCGGTATACCTATACTGTCCGCAACATTTACCGTTTTTTTATAAGAAAAATAGCCCGTAAACTTCTCACTCCAGAGCATTATAAGAGCAACAAAAGCAAACAGTGAAAAGACAAAGTAAATATTGTTTTCGACGTTTTAGTATGCATTTCCTAATTAACCTTGAATATGGGGGTCGAACTAATGGGCTTGCAGGTTGAAATTGCATAATCTCCCCTCAAGAGGTTTCTGGCGCGCGATCCGCAAGTCACCCACAGCTCATCAGTGTTCCTTTTTTGATCTTTATACAGTTGACTCTAGATAACTCGAACCCTCGCTAACTTGCGCGAACCTCGCGCAAACTCGAACCATAGTCGATTTCCTCTCGATGTCTGGATTCATACTTCAACTGTAATATTATCCTCGGTTACTCGAACCCTCGATAACTCGAACCTCCCGCTAACTCGAAGTAATTTTTGTTTTCCTTCAAGTCACCTCTACATAATTTTACCCTCGATAACTCTAACCACGTTTTAAGCCCGTGACAAGTCGGAAAATAAAAATAGTGTACTGAAAGTCCGAAACATTGAATTTATTTCAAAACAATCATGTCAATTCCTTTTCTCTACATTTTTGTCACTCCACTGTTTAATTCAAATTCAGTGTCTACCCAAGTATCTTAATCAAGCTTTGTTGCTTAATTCCTTTTTCAAAATATCAATCTAATAATAATAATAATAATAATGGTGTATTAACAGTGTATCCACCTAGTGGCACTTCACCTGTTAAAAACTACAATATAAAAAATGAAAAACTATAATATACTACAAAAAAAATTGAATTGAAATCCACCATATAAAAAGCAAAAATATTGGACTATAAAAGGATATTGAATAAAAAATAAAATTGTTATAAAGATTAGTAATAGTAATACAACCCTATATACAATTTACAAACTATTTACAAATGTTATTTAATAGATAGGCAGTAACTTCCCTACACTATACTTTGAAATCGCTACAGTTTCTAATATTTGCCGGAAGGACATTAAATAACTTGGCAGCAGAGTCTTGAAAAGTGCCCTTCTCCATTGGTAAAATAGTAATCTTGTTGTTGCTCCTGACCGCAACGATCACAGATGTTTAACTATATCTCTTGCTGCCCTGAACTGAGAGAAGTAAGCATAATACTTGAATTCCCTCCACATCCATTTGCTTATGTGCTTGTGTCGGGCTATCTGCTTCGAACCCCCGAGTAACTCGAACTTTTTTCAATTTCCCTCGAGAGTTCGAGTTATCGGGAGTCGACTGTTTCTAGATATATTTGGTCTAATCCATATCAAATATTCCAATTTTGGAAAGTTTGTATTAGAACTCCTACATCAGAATGCGCACTCGCATATCGCGCTCGTTCACAAATTATCGAGCTCAAGAGGGGCTGCTCGCAGTCTACATAATTATGATCAGTACACCGTGGTCCTCTTTCCTTTTCCGTCCTCTAGACTAAACTCACTATTATCATGTTTCTTTAAATACTCTTTTCCGAGGGGAACTTACTAAGACAGCTTTTCTGGTTTCCCCAAGGACATCAATAAACTATCTTCTTATGAACCTCGCCATCGCAGACATGACTGTGGCCACATTTTTACTACCAAGATATGTTTTTGTTCACACTTTCACTCATCCTGATGGAGTTGCTGGAAACGTGCTCTGCAGACTGCTGACCGGAGGAAATGTTGCCTGGATTGGAGGTGGCACATCAGTTTTTACACTTGTTGCCGTAGCAACTGAACGCTACTTTGCTGCACTTCATCCCTTTGAAAAAAAGGGGAAGTTTAGTGCTCGTAGAATAAAGGTATGCTTATATCTTTTGTATTGATTTGCGTGTACACCATGTAAAGCGAATGAACTCTTTCTTCTGGAATTAGCGTAAGTGGTTCATTGACTTTGTCTACAGCTAATAACTTTTGCGTCATCATAGCACACGGCCTTGATAACCAAACCACTATTTTCACAACGATAAAAGTTAGTTTTCATAACATTTAGAAGTTACTCTTGGTATCGTGACTAGCAGATATACTCTGACAGGAAAGTGGAATGAAGATTGCAGTACTTTCAATACATAATAATTCACGTGATTGAGCGAGGCAAGAACCCATTTCCTGGCCGATGGAAAGCCCCTGGTAAAAATTGTGCGGCGGCAGCAAAAAACGTAGTGTAGAAAACAGAGAAAAGTTAGATGAAACGCGAAATTGGAAAGTTGGTGTTACCGGGTATTACTCATAAATATAAACAAGCATCGCAAGACAAAGGAGCGCGTGGCTGGGGCAAACCTTACCTTTGGGAAGCAAAAGTGCTAATTAACATTTGTAAACTGGTACAACATGTCATGAAACATTATAATTTTGTATACATATTTCAGATGACCATCGCTTGCTCTTGGATCTTTGGGATCGTCATCACTTTTCCAATGTTCCTAGCAAGGAATTTTGACAAGGAACTTGATTGGTGCGTTTATACTTGGTCTGAAGAATGGATGGGTAAAGCCTATAGCATGGTTTGGTTTCTGTCTACAGGATTTTTCCCGGTTACTTTCATGATCGCTCTATACTCCCAAGTCGTGTACACTTTGTGGTTCACACGTTCAAAGCCAAGAGGACGTCAGCATTGTGTGCAACAGGTTCGAAACTAAAATAAAAACAAAATGCTATATACCAATTATTTATTCCTGCAAGAAAAAGTTCTCTTTAGTTTTCGCCATGCAAAAATTCATTTATTGATCAATCTTGTTCGGTCAAGATAGCTGTATTTTGCCCACGGTATTTTATGAGGTTTTTAGGGACCTTAAGATACTCTGGACACGGCCGAGGAGGATGTCAACCGGAAGTGAAATGTTCAATTCTAGGAAATAATTAGCATAATTCCTAGTAGTATAGGGCGCACCGGTTAGGCCTCTTTTTTGTGCAGGAATCTCATTAGCGTGCGCAGGAATCAGGAATAAATTAACTAGGTGACGTCATAGGCTATTGTCTTGATCTCATGAATAAAATGCTGAGGTATCTCATTAACTTGCGGTGGAATCTCATTAATTATATCCAGTTTGACGGGTTTATCAATGATGTCATGTTCTATTTTTATCTTGTGGCGGTCATGGTTGGTATAACCGGTTTGACAGGTTTTAGTTATTTTCGGAAGATGATGTCATATGTATTCCGGGGTACTATGATGGCATAGTTGTTTTGATTGGTTGACCGGAATTAGAAAGACGCTCATTGGCTGTCTCGTTTGACGAATCATTCTGGTTGGTTGCCGTATTTTTATTGTTTTTCTCTCCNTATATCCAGTTTGACGGGTTTATCAATGATGTCATGTTCTATTTTTATCTTGTGGCGGTCATGGTTGGTATAACCGGTTTGACAGGTTTTAGTTATTTTCGGAAGATGATGTCATATGTATTCCGGGGTACTATGATGGCATAGTTGTTTTGATTGGTTGACCGGAATTAGAAAGACGCTCATTGGCTGTCTCGTTTGACGAATCATTCTGGTTGGTTGCCGTATTTTTATTGTTTTTCTCTCCACCACCACCACCGCAAAATTTGCTTATGTCGGGACTGACATGGTAGGCAAATGTTCCGCAGCGGCCCGGGGGAGGGGGCTGGGCGCAGCTGGATTTGTCTGATGCATAATCACGAAAAAACGAACTTGGCCAATATCCAACCATTTTGACCTCCCGCTTGGTCAATAACGCATGTGTGTAGGTTTACGTCACCACCGTCATTTAGTATATAAGTGATTTACCTACAATCCTAGCTGCTGGTCCCGTATACTCACCTGCACCAGGGTTTATTCTGTTCCACAAACAACAAGTTGAAATTTTTAATTTTTTTTTTCAGGGTGTGCTGAAAGTACGCAAGCGGGTCACCTTGATGGTCATAACAGTCAGTATCGTTTTTGGAGTAACCTGGCTTACAGACACGTTTAACTGGGTCCTCTACTGCTATAAGCCTTCGTTCAATCAGCTGACATACGCAGCAACTTCCATTTTGATCCTGTTCAACTCTGCTATCAATCCTATTATGTATGCTTTGGTAAATCAGCGTTACAAAGAGAAAATCAAAGGAATATTAACTTGCAAGTGCCGTCCAGAACCAAACGGGATGTTCTATGTTAAAAATCATGAGGAAGTGGAAATAGCCGTTATCTCCTTTCACCAAAGCCAATTAACGGGCGAACGTAGCTGAAGAAGTGATTTCTGATAATTTAATTTATTTAAAGAGTTTGCTTTAATATGTATTTAAAACGTGACCGTAAAAACAGCAACTGGTTGGTTAATTAGAGGCCAACCTTTTACCTTTGAGATGGAGAAAGGGGCTTGAGTCAGTGTTGGCGGAAAGTGCCGTGTTTGCTGGCAGGCTGGGCTGTGAGGGTCAATAGGGACCTTACGAAACCACGACGTCGACGGTAAAGGGAACGTCAAAAAACAGTAGGTTTAATGAGCAAAACAACAACTCTGCACGCGCATTCCGCTTTTTTGTACATTTCAAGTTTGCCTTCACTGCACATGACTACGACGTGAAATAGCCAAATTTAAACTTTACGTGGAAACGGGAACGGGCAAGGGTGATAAATTCTACCATCTCTGTCCGAACTTGAGCGCGTTCCCATCTCTTCAGCCCCGAGGGGGGGGGGATACTCCTGCGAATTTTGGATAGGGGTGTGCCGCGAAGGTTCGTGAACCCTAACCCTATTTAAGGGTAATTATTTCTTCTCTGTAACATTGGATGTATAGCATAACGACCGAGAACCTCAAAAACCATACCCTATTCCGCGGCACGTACCTATATAGCCCATATATGGGAGTACCCCCCCCCCCCGGGTCTTCAGCTCCAGCTAAAATCCCCTTCTTTTAAGTAACAGGGCGAATTATAGGATAAACGCGAAAAAGTTTAAAATGATGCGAAGTCTGTTTTTCAGCAACGTTTACATGGACGTCGCCGTTGTCGGATCGTAAGTTCCCTATTAATCGAGCCAAAAAGTCATCAAGAATATGGCATACAAAATAAGATGGGTAGATAGATAGATAACCTTATTTAAACACGGTTAAAATTCCTTCAGCATGTACAAAAAATCTAAGATCTATTATACCTAACTAAACTAACTTTGATTAAAAATATATTCATAAAATTTTAACTACCTAGCTATTACAAATAAAGCTGCTTTTCAAGGATGCCGTGTAAAACTTTATTAATGTATGATCACATTTAAAACTGTTGCGACACACACATGGGATAGGCTGTTCCACAGCTTAGCTCCGCTATAGAAGAAACTTTTCTTTAAATAATTGGTACGGGGCAGTGGAAGGACTAATTTATTTTCAGTATTCCTCAATCGATAACAAGTTATTTCGTCACGAGATACAAATTTAGATGTTAGATAGTCGGGAGTCATCCCATGTACGGTTTTATACATCATAATAGCCGTCGATAATTGTCTTTGGTGTTTAAGCTTACGCCAACCAAGTGCCAGGAACAAATCGTCCACATTACAATCAGAATTAGCGGACATTAGAATACGGGCTGCGCGATTTTGGAGCCTCTGCAGCTTATCGGAAAGACCAATGCCGCAGTTGCTCCATACGACATTACAGTAATCAAAATGCGGTTGAATTAAACTGTCGTAAACATTAATTAATACATTAAAAGGAATAAGATGTCGTATTCTTTTAATTGCACCCAAAGCAGAAGCAATCTTTTTACAAATACTCTGTATGTGGCATTTCCAGCTTAAGTTTTGGTCAATATGCACTCCAAGAGATTTTGCCGTTGACACTTGCATCACGGGATGGTCGTTTATCATAAAAGGAGGAGTTTCAGAAAGCTTTGATAGCCTTTGCCTCGACCCAACTAACATAAACTCAGTTTTAGTCAAGTTAAGGGTCAGTTTGTTAGCCGATAGCCATATATACACCTTGTTTAAATCGTCGTTAACGCAGTCATTTATGATGAGTTTTAAATCTGCGCTGGCATAGGTTAGGCTGGTGTCATCGGCATACATTCTAGGTTGTGAAAAATGCAAGCAATTAGGTAGGTCATTAATATACAGTAAAAACAATAAAGGTCCAAGAAGTGTTCCCTGGGGAACACCACATATAACTAATTTTAGGTTTGACATTGAGCAATTAATTTGGCAAGTTTGGGTACGATTGTTTAAATGCGAAGTAAACCATTCGTGACAGGAACCGCGTAATCCATAATATTGTAATTTCGTTAATAAGATATGATGATCAACTGTGTCGAAAGCCTATTTTTAAGTCTAAGAAGACAACGGCATTGACAAGGCCACGATCAACGTTCACTGCCCAGCTATCGGTAGCTTCGAGTAATGCGGTTACAGTAGAATGTAAAGAACGAAAACCAGATTGGTAACGGGATAGAATACGATTCTCAGTTAGATAGTGGTACAACTGGTCGTAGACTACCCATTCAAATACTTTGGCCACGACTGGGATCACCGATATTGGTCGATAATTGGTGGGATCATTTCGTTTACCAGAATTTTTATACAATGGAGTAACCCTAGCCGACTTCCACTCATCGGGAAAAATTCCTGTCAACAGTGATTGATTAAATATTTAAGTAAGAGACTCGGCAATTAGATCAGGGCACTCCCTTAATAATTTAGCTGATATACTATCTAATCCAGAGGCCTTTGATTTACAAAGTTTTGAAAGGAGAGAATAAATATGAGCAGATGTTATTTCCTCGAAGACAAACTCCTTAGAAGTTCCACAAAGAAACTCTTTGTAGGTGGTATCAACATTCGAAACATTTCGACTAAGCCTTGGTCCAATCTCAATGAAGAAAGTGTTCAACAATTCAGCAACTTCTGCTTGATTGCTCGATTTTAGTCCCTGATATTGTATTTCATTTATTACTGTTTTATTAGATTTGCGGGAAGTCGATTCACTGATGGTCTTCCAGGTCTTACGTTGATCACCGGCATAATTATTAAAAGAATTATTATAATAGGCCTTTTTAGCAGCCTTGATTTCCTGATTTACTTTATTTTTGACCTTCCGGAATCGATTCCAGGAGGACGCATCCTTAGTTTTAACAGCTTTTTTCTTTAGCCGGTTTCTGAAATTCATTCGTTTTTTCAAATTTGTGGAAATCCAAGAAGACTTGGTGGGACGGGTGCGTTCAGTTTTCACAGGGGCGTGCTTATCACAAACACTTAGGAATAATTCTTTCCATTTTTTCCACATATCATTGGGGTCGTACAGTTCTTTGATATCGTCCCACGGTTGCGTCGAAACATCATCACGGAAATTATTGGGACTTTTGTTTACGATTACCAACTCTACAACATACCATACACGTGTATTAGATTGAACCGTAGAACTTTTTGAACCACTGCAAAGCGGAAAGCTAAATAGGAATAATACTTGCAATATTAAAAAAGACGGTTCATGATCTAAAAGGTCAATTAGATATCGGTTTGGACAATGAACAGCCTTATCCGGGGAGGAGAGTCCTTGGAAAGAGTTGTCCGATAAAAATCTACAAGGATTACAAGCTTTGGCGTCCTTTCATATTCAGTGATTGACACTTTTATAATATGTCCTGCTTTGTGTAAGATTAGAGACCTTTAGATTCTAGGACGAGAACGACTACGAGTACGAGATTTCACTTAACGTTTTTTTGTGTATTCTTGAATAGACACCCCGGACAGCTTCATTGTACATTTTTTCAGGAAAAAAAAAATAGCACGCAATGTTATCTTGATTAATATAATGCCAAAATATGCATGGTACTTCATAAACAAAGATGATGACGTCTGCTAGCACGTAACATCACCGTGACATTTTCTTTGGTCGAACATGCATGTCTTTCGCTATAAATTTTTCTGCCTTGATTAATCACATGACCAACTAGAATGGCTTCTATGAAAGACGTGAAACTTCTTGTGACATATCACCAAAAAGATATGAATCATGTTTAAATTCAAAAATATTTAAATAACAAAAGCAACATTTAACAACAGAAAATTCATGAATAATCTAGTATTCGTCGTCCAAATCCATGTTTGCTTGCCACGTGACACGTGAAGTCTTCGGGGGGGGGGGGATAATCCCATATATCGGATGGGCTAGGTAGGTAAGTACCCCCTGATAGTGAATGGTTTTTGAGGATTTTGAGCCTTTTAACCTCAAGCTATATTTGTTTACATTCACAATAAATAAATTACAAATACAGACTACCTGCAAAATAGCGGAGCTAATCGAGGCAGGTAGTATGGAGACGTGTCTATTACCCAGTATACAATATTTTCCTAACGACATAACTTTATACAACAATTACGAAATTACAATAATTACATGTACAAGCGGCTAGAGGAGTGATAGAAAACTTGTAGATGTAGAGGCCAACGAAGCCACAAGCACATAAATAGAGAAAAGAAAAGTTTAAATTTTTTTTATTTCATTTATTAACAAAAGAAAAGTTTAAATTCTTTTCATTTCATTTATCAACGTATCTATATCAAGATAAGAGTCCTGTTTTAAGAAGATTTGAAATAAGGATTCAGTTATTTTTTTCTTGAATCTATACTTTGGGAGCTGTCTCATAACATCTGGAATACTGTTCCAACTTTATTTAGCGTAGTATAGAGGATAGAGAATAACTTGTCAACATTAGGTTCTCTCTCAGAAATTAAAGTCTGCCAGTCAATCTGTAAATCATGTAAAAATTTTCCTTTGAAATGTGTGAGTAATCACGAAAAGAGCATTTCACGTTTTTACCAATTATTGTAAGAGAGCGCTCAATACAAAATTGAGTAAAGTGATCAGTAATATCCGAAATTACATTTACCACTAATAATATCACCATCAAGTTTATTTGTAAATATATTATCAATTAAGGAGAAGGAGTTGTTATGCACGATAGTTGAGCTCATTTAATAAATGAGATTGAAAGTTTTCAAGATTGGGGCGGAAAGGTGAGAGCTCAGAGTCAGAGTTAGACTTTTCATCAAGATTTAAGCTAAAAAGATCAATGTCGAGAAGGCTAGGCAAACGCTCCTGCAGCTTAGTACCATCAAACTCTTGGCCGTTGAACTCAAGGCATGTCAAGGCTCGCTTCATCTTCTTGATTCAAGATGGCCGAAGCGCGGCTTTCACTATTGACATTTAACTTACAATACATTCTTGGTCCGTAACTCGTTGCTCCAGTTTCTTCAACTCTTTTTCAGCTTCCTCGAGCTGCTTCTTCAGCTCTCCGTTACTTTTGAAGGGATTTACTGAGACGGGCATTAAATTTAAAAATAAATTGACAGTAACCGGGAGAGTAAAAAGACACGTCCTGTCAGTACACGCACATGGGCAAGAGTATCATTTTTTACCTTGTTGGCCTTGTGTCTTTGGTTTGATCCATAGATAGGATAACTCAAGTAGTAATGGATGGTTTATTCCATCCTTTCCATCTTGTGGAGAAAAAAAGTAATCCTGAACACGCTCGGAAGAATTGCAAGGTCTTACGAATTGTATATACGCAGGGACGAATATTTTACTATCCTCATGGTATTTGCTTTAGAGGGCTCCATATAGAAAAAAATTGTTTTAAGATGGAATGAGTACTCTTTTTGTTCCCATAAGGGTCCAAATCAAGAGAGAATAATGGACCAAATGGCCAGCCGGCTCAGTGTTAGACCCCAAGTGAGTTTTATAATAACAGGTACATACGAAGGTATTGGCCAGCGACTAATTGGAATTTGTGTTTATGTTTCTGTTGTGGTTCGACGGTTTTGGTGACTTTTTTTGTTTATTTACAGTAAACATTTTGAATCTTTCTAGGCCTCGTTTGATTAAGTTGGCCAAAATATGGAAGCCATTATTACTTCTTTAAGATTGCGCGTTAGGCAAGGACGGTGTTGTGTCGACGTATTATGAGATCCAAAAAGGAAGGCTTGAACTTTCCTGGTGTCCTTATTCGAATGATGTAGGATGGATGTTACGATTTGCGGAAATTAAAGGCTTTTTAATGATGGCTCGTTTGTGTCTAGTGTGTCTAGCTCTGTCTAGATCCTGTACTCTGACAATGCTCTGTCCAGAGGCACATCCCCGTATTGGCCATATAAGGAAGTACAAGTTTAGGACTGTTAATAAAGTTAAATGGTTTGAATGAGAGGAGATGTTACGTGCTAGCAGACGTCATCATCTATGTTTATGAAGTACCATGCATATTTTGGCATTATATTAATGTTGACAAGATAAGTTGAATCACTCTCAAAAAATTATTACAAAGTGCAATGGAATTATTACAAATTGCGACAACTTAGTTTATTACAAAGTGCGATGGACTGTTATTACAAATTGCGACAGCTTTTTTATTACAAAGTGCGACAAGGTTTATTACAAATTGCGACAGGAATTACAAAGTCGGATGGATTTATTACAAATTGCGACAGGTATTACAAAGTGCGATGATTATTACGAATTGCTACAGTACACACACCTGCTGAGTAAATGTTTATATCGTGATGATAGACTTTAGACTTCCCGTTTTTTAAGCATATGTTTGACAGTTCTTCCACCAGCTTCGATAGAGCAAGCAGAGGAAAAACGCAGGATTAGAATTCACAAAGCCACTTACCAGGTATTTGCAAAATCGGTAAAAACTGTTTCTTTTATTTGAATACCTAAGTCGTGCGAAAAAAAAAGATAATTATGATACGATAATAAAGCTGGATGCATGAACAGGAAGGTTAGGAAGGGATCGATTTGTAAAACGGAGTCATCCATGAGGAAAAAGCTAAAAATAATATTTCATAATATTCATTTTAAGGAGCTATTGAGTCAAAGACCAAAACAATTAACCAAGCAACGTAGAGGAACTTCAAGTTCTATGTCATACAGATATAACGTGGCACTTTACAAACAAATGCGCGCCTTTTAGGTAAACATTGGTATTGGTGATTTGGAGTGAACATTTCCTTTTCGAGCTTCTCTTTAGTATTGACATTTTATTCGTTCATATTGCAATAGATGCTGAACACGGATTACCTTTTGCGGCAGGGCATCAGCAATCGTAAATAACTTTATAGAGGCTTATTTATTTCTTCCACGCAGAAGTGCGATCTCATTGGCCCTGCTTTTTTAGTCGGTCGACTTAATGCCATGTGTAATAATATATATTATAACAACAAGACTCGAAAACCTTAAATATCGATAACCTGATCCCATATAAGATCTGTATGGGTAAAAAATGTCTCAAAATCCTCTTTTTTTTTAATTGTAGGAAACAATGGACTTTATCTACAGGGAGCAAGGCCCAGCTGAGATCGCCGTAACAACAGTGCAATCGTTACTCGTTATTGTAAACATCACTGGAAACTCTTTTGTTTGTCTCATCATAGTAAAGAACAAAGACATGAGGTAAGTGCCGGTATACCTATACTGTCCGCAACATTTACACGTTTTTTATAAGAAAAATAGCCCGTAAACTTCTCACTCCAGAGCATTATACAGCAACAAAAGCAAAAAGTGAAAAGACAAAGTAAATGTTGTTTTCAACGTTTTAGGGTGAATTTCCTAATTAACCTTGATCCGAATGCCCCGTACACCTTAATCCGAATGCTCCTAAATGTCTCAGGAACAGTCTTCAATTTCTTTGTCTTTCGCGTGGACCTCTGGGCCGTTTTAAAAGAGCCTCTCTCTTCGACTTAAGGTGGCTCGATACAGTTTTTCAAGGCCAATACCTCCCAAGTTTGAGCATAAACTACGTTGCCATAAACAAAGTTTTGGAAAAATTGCCACCACAGTTGTATTAGATAAAGATGAAAATCTTTTATGATCAGGGTTGCAATGACATCGGAGTTGTTATAACAACGAAATGACGCTATTACCTATTTTACTTACAGAAGTATTTCTCGGCACTGGGAACTGTTCTTCCAAAATCATTCACGGGAGCTTTTTCCCCCAATAGCGGCCTCGATGTTCGTGAAGTTTAAGCGAAATCTGTAAGAGCGTTATCGAGATATTTTGGAATAAAGATTTTATGGTTTGAAATACGGTAAAAAATGGATAATCTTGATGTTCGGCTGTTATCTGTAGGAAAATGAAGCGCTTTTTACATGCAATTTCACCTCATAGTAGTTTCAATCTTCTTAAAAACGTGTGTGAAAGACCGTGGAGATATCTCCAGCCGATTGTTAGAAAGAAGGATTTGATTGGTATGTTTCGAGGCGCTCTTGTTAGCGGTTTTTGAACATTTTGGTCTACTTTAAAAAAATAGCGAATAATTTTTAAACCGCTCGATAGATTTTTTTAAAAAATTAATATATATAATGAAATATATATATGAAATGATATATATATGAAATATATATATCAATTTTTTTGCTTTTTGTCTTCTAAATTTATTTATCTATTTATTTATTTTTTGAGGGCCGTAGGTTAGAAAACTGTAATAGGTTATTGCGCTTCCCTATTTAAATAAAGTTATTGTATTGTATTGTATTGTATTGTATTGTATTGTATTGTATTGTATTGTATTGTATGGTATTGTATTGTATTGTATGGGGGTCGAATTAAAGGGCTTGCAGGTTGAAATTGCATAATCTCCCCTCAAGACGTTTTTGCCGCGCGATCCGCAAGTCACCCAACACTCATGTTCCCACTCCTTTTTTAATCTTTATACAGTTGACTCCCGATAACTCGAACCCTCGCTAACTTGCGGGAACCTCGCGCAAACTCGAACCGTAGTCGATTTCCTCTCGATTTCTGGATTCATACTTCCACTGTAATTTTACCCTCGGTTACTCGAACCCTCAATAACTCGAACCTCCCGCTAACTCGATGTAATTTTTGTTTTCCTTCGGGTCATTTCTACATAATTTTACCCTCGATAACTCTAACCATGTTTTAAGCCCGTGACAAGTCGGAGAATAAAAACAGTGTATTGAAAATCGTGTCAATTCTTTGTCTTTACATTTTTGTCACTCCACTGGTTAGTTCAAATTCAGTGTCTATCCCTGTATCTTAATCAAGCTTTGTTGCTTAATTCCTTTTTCAAAATATTAATTTATATCTCTTGCTGCCCTGAAGAGAAGTGAGCCTGATACTTGCATTCCGCATCCATTTGCTTATTTGCTTGTGTCCGGCTATCTGCTTCGAACTCCCGATAACTCGAACGCCCGAGTAACTCGAACTTTTTATCCGATTTCCCTCGAGGGTTCGAGTTATCGGGAGTCGACTGTTTTTAGAAATATTTAGTCTAATCCATAACAAATATTCCGATTTCGGAAAGTTCGTATTAGAACTCCTATATCAGAATGCGCACACGCATATCGCGCTCGCTCACAGATTATCGAGCTCAAGAGGGGCTGCTCGCAGTCTACGTATTATCAGGACGCCGTGGTCCTCTTGCTTCGCCGTCCTCTTGCCTAAACTCACTATTATCATGTTTCTTTAAATACCCTTTTCCGAGGGGAACTAACTAAGACAATTTTTCTGGCTTCCCCAAGGACATCAATAAACTATCTTCTTATGAACCTCGCCATCGCAGACATGACTGTGGCCACATTTTTACTACCAAAATATGTTTTTGTTCACACTTTCACTCATCCTGATGGAGATGCTGGAAACGTGCTCTGCAGACTGCTGACCGGAGGAAATGTTGCCTGGATTGGAGGTGGCACATCAGTTTTTACACTTGTTGCCATAGCAACTGAACGCTACTTTGCTGCACTTCATCCCTTTGAAAAAAAGGGGAAGTTTAGTGCTCGTAGAATACAGGTATGCTTATCTCTTTTGTATTGATTTGCATGTACACTTCTGGAGTTAGCGTAAGTGGTTCATTGAATTTGTCTACAGCTAAAACCTTTTGCGTCATCATAGCACACGGCCTTGAGAACCAAACCACTATTTACACAACGATAAAAGTTAGTTTTCATAACATTTAGAAGTTTCGCTTGGTATCGTGACTAGCAGATATACTGTGACAGGAAAGTGGAATGAAGATTGAAGTACTTTCACTGCATAATAACGCACGAGGCACGAACCCATTTCTTGGCCGATGGAAAGCCCCTGGTAAAAATTGTGCGGCAGCAGCAAAAACGTAGTGTAGAAAACACCGAAAAGTTAGATGAAACGCGAAATTTGAAAGTTGGTGTTACCGGGTATCACTTATACTGATATAAACGGGCATCGCAAGGCAAAGGAACGCGTGGCTGGGGCAAACCTTACTTTGGAGAAGCAGAAGTGCTAATTAACATTTGTAAACTGGTACAGCATGTCATGAAACATTATAATTTTGTATACATATTTCAGATGACTATTGCTTGCTCTTGGATCTTTGGGATCGTCATCACTTTTCCAATGTTCCTAGCGAGGAACTTTGACAAGGAACTTGATTTGTGCGTTTATACTTGGTCTGAAGAATGGATGGGTAAAGCCTATAGCATGGTTTGGTTTCTGCTTACAGCATTTTTCCCGGTTACTTTCATGATCGCTCTATACTCCCAAGTCGTGTACACTATGTGGTTCACACGTTCAAAGCCAAGAGGACGTCAGCATTGTGTGCAACAGGTTCGAAACTAAAATAAAAACAAAATGCTATATACCAATTATTTATTCCCGCAAGAAAAAGTTCTCCTTAATTTTGGCCATGCAAAAATTCCTTTATTGATCAATCTTGTTCGGTCAAGATAGCTGGATATTGGCCATGGTCTTTTATAAGTTTTTAGGGACCTCAAGATACTCTGGACACGGCCGAGGAGGATGTCAACCGGAAGTGAAATGTTCAATTCTTGGAACTAATTACCGTATTTATTCGAATAAGCGCCCAACCTCGAATTAGCGTCCACCTCGATTTAGCGCCCATCCTAAAGGCAGAAAAAGTTAATAAGCGCCCAGCCTCGAGTAAGCGCCCACCCCCTCCTCCTCCCAATCAAACTCAAATAAGCGCTCACCCCCACCCCCACCCACTTGAGTGAATAAATTTTAATAAGAGACTTTCCCGAGGACGGAGTTATCTTCAGAGTATTTTACAGAAACCTTGCTTTGTTACTTCTTCGCGTTTTGTTATTAGCATTTATTGTTTTGTTGCAAAATAAACATACTTCACTTGCTGAAATTGCTTTAACAAGCGCCCAGCCTCGAATAAGCGCCCTCTCTCAAGGTCCAAACATTTAATAAGCGCCCAGGGCGGTTAATCGAATAAATACGGTAGCATAATGCATAGTTTCGCCGCCTCCTTAAACTGTGAGTTGGTTTCTTGTTTTCAGTACAGAAATTGCTTTTCATACAGGATTTTCGATCCATTTTACTTCATGAGACACATTTAAGTGTTTTTAGTGTGGTGTTTCCTCAAGATTGACTCTTATATTTTTGCTATCAAGCCTTTTGGGTTCAGTGTTTTGGCGGCAACTGAGAATGAAAGCGCACAGTCCTTTGACACAAATGTAACGCTATAACTGCTTATTTTTAAGCGACGACGTTCTCGATTTAGGATAGTATTTGAAAACTTTAAGAGACGAGAAGAACAAAAATTGTTGGAAAACAAAAATCTGGGCTTGTAATAAACTGGGCGAAAATTGAGATCTTGAACAAGACGTCATCATGGTCCATTTATTAACTTTTAAAATTTCATTTTGTTCACTTTTCAGTTCAGCGATGAAGATCAAAAGCTCGGGGTTGGCCCCGGGGTGGGCAAATGCCCGACCCCCGGGCCACGCGAAATTTGGTTATGTCGGGACTGACATGGTAGGCAAATGTTCCGCAGCGGCCCGGGGGAGGGGGCTGGGCGCAGCTGGATTTGTCTGATGCATAATCACGGAACTTGACCAATATCCAACCATTTTGACCTCACGCTTGGTCAATAACGCATGTGTGTAGGTTTACGTCACCACCGTCATTTAGTATGAGTGATTTACCTACACTCCTAGCTGCTGGTCCCGTATACTCACCCCCAACAGGGTTTATTCTGTTCCACAAACAACAAGTTGAAATTTTTAATTTCTTTTTTCAGGGTGTACTGAAAGTACGCAAGCGGGTCACCTTGATGGTCATAACAGTCAGTATCGTTTTTGGAGTAACCTGGCTTACAGACACGTTTAACTGGTTCCTCTACTGCTATAAGCCTTCCTTCAATCAGCTGTCATGCGCAGCAACTTCCATTTTGATCCTGTTCAATTCTGCTATCAATCCTATTTTGTATGCTTTGGTAAATCAGCGATTCAAAAAGAAAATCAAAGGAATATTAAATTGCAAGTGCCGTCCTGAATCAAACGGGGTGTTTTCTGTAAAAAAACATGAGAAAGTGGAAATAGCCGTTATCTCGTTTCACCAAAGCCAATTAACGCACAAACGTAGCTGAAGGAGTGATTTCTGATAATTTAATTTATTTAAAGAGTTTGCTTTAATATGTATTTAAAACGTAGCCGTAAAAACAGCAACTGGTTGGTTAATTAGAGGCCAACCTTTAACCTTTGAATTGGAGAAAGGGGCTTGAGTCAGTGTTGGTGGGAATTGCCGTGTTTGCTGGCAGGCTGGGCTGTGAGGGTCAATAGGGACCTTACGAAACCACGACGACGACGGCAAAGGGAACGTCAAAAAACAATAGGTTTAATGAGCAAAACAACAACTCTGCACGTGCATCACGCTTTTTTGTACATTGCTTCGCCTTCACTGCACAACTACGACGTGAAATAGCCAAATTTTAAGTTTACTAGGGAACGGGAACGGCGAGGCGATAAATTCTACCATCTTTGTCGGAACTTGAGCGCGTTCCCCTCTCTTCAGCTCCAGCTAAAATCCCCTTCTTTTAAGTAACAGGGCGAATTATAGGATAAACGCGAAAAAGTTTAAAATGATGCGAAGTCTGTTTTTCAGCAACGTTTTGATGGACGTCGCCGTTGTCGGATCGTAGGGTCCCTAATAATCAAGCCAAAAAGTCGTCAAGAATATGGCATACAAAATAAGATGGGCCTTTTGTTTACGGTTATCAACTCTACAACATACGATGCACGTGTATTAAATTGAACCGGAGAACGTTTTGAACCATTGCAAAGCGGAAAGATAAGTAGCAATAATTCTTGCAATACTGAAATAAAAAAAAACTGTTCATGATCCAAAAGGTCAATTAGATATCGGTTTGGACAATGAACAGCCTTGTCAGGGAGGATAATCCTTTGAAAGAGTTGTCGGATAACAATCTACAAAGGTTACAAGCTTTGGCGTCCTTTCACATTGAGTGATTGACACTTTTAGTAACATGTCCCGCTTTGTGTAAGATTAGAGACCTTTAGATTCTAGGACGAGAACGACTACGACTACGAGATTTAATTTAAAGTTTTTTCGCGTTTTCTCAAATAATAGACGCCCCGGAAAGCTTTATTGTATATCTTTTTCGCCAACAAAATTAGCACTGTTATCTTGATTGAAGGAGGTTAAGCTATCTCACAGCCGCAAAATATTAACACCTATAACACTATAACTTGTGTCCGCTAACGCGACATTCTCGCTAAAACTCGTAGTAAAATGACGACAACTATCATGTTTTCCCACCAAAATGACGCTGGTTCACGCGCTCGCACTACTTACTATTGAGAAAATCTCGTACTCGTACTCGCACTCGTCTTAGAATTTAAAGGTCCCTACTAATGTTGTTACTGAGAAGAAAGAAACTGATATTGAGAGTACTGCTTCCTGACAAGAACAATGAAAACGTTAAAATAGCCATCCTCGCCCTTCCAATTCAACCAAGTCAATAATAAGAATATTGCACCAGAAATCTGATAATTGAAGCGTCTACGGGTGAATTATTGCGCGTATGTTGTCTATGTTGTCATTGTACTGTTTTGCACCCATGCGTACTGTGTCCATACTGTGTCTAAAATTGAGAAACTAAAGCCCTTCAATTTGGTTATACCAGTCGTAACATAAAGATAGAATGCCTACAAATGACGTTATTGGTGTTAATGCCTTCCACAGAAAGTTAATTCAATCAAAAAACAGGTTAGTTTTTTAAATTAGTTCCTACTATACTACTTCTGATATGTTTAGGTTTAGACTTATCAAATAGAGTGTTTTCACATAACGTCACGACGGCCACGTTGGTGTCCCGAAGCGTTCCTGTGGGGTTGAACTCTTTTCTTATGCAAACACTTTCTTTTGTTCTAATAAATTTGCATAGATGATGGCCACGTGAGTGAAAACGCTCCATAAATTTAAGAAATGGTAAACGTGCAGCATGCAGCAATCAACTTATGGATACAAAAAGAAGATATCGTCACACTAAAAAGAACATGTTGTGCTAACCATCAGAGAAAAAAATCATTGCAACAAACAGCATTTTCGCACGAGGTAAAAGTAGTATGTTGCCCACCGACCCCCTTTTTACACTGTAATTTAGTTTAGTGGCAAAATGCAACTCGCGTTTCATTAAAAAAAAAAACAGCCAGTTAAAAAGTAATAGACGGTCCTGCCGATGTAAAAATTTCATTCTCAAACAAGCGTCAGGTCTGAATCCGCCACTGCTGTGTGTATGATATGTCAGTACATGTGCTCCATGGAATAAAAGGTGCTATGTATTTCTTTTACGATGTGTTGCACTAGTTGTCGTCGATTAGTGCCAAACGATCCTGCTAGCACAACCTTTCTGACTTGCACGATTTTGGTGTCTTCGAGAAAAGAACTCTGCATGACTTGAGTAAGGTCTTAATTGAGAATGTTTTTTCTTCTCCTGGGACACACTTTTTGAACCCAGGCCCAAAAGTCCTACGCTTGGTAAAGAGGACTCAGTTGTGACCAGGAATTTATCAAAAAGTGGACATGATTGACTAGTGCGGACGTTTGGGCATCGGCGACATCAAAGGCTGGGGAGAGCCAACCTCGTTTCCAGTCGTCCTCGGTGATTTCGGATGTGACGTCACCTATCCAGCTTGTCGGAAAAATTCGCGCTATCGCACTCTGTTCCAAGCCTCCTCTGGTAACTCGGATAGCGCGAACTGGCCTGGGTACGAGGCTGAGGCAGAGCGTCTTTTTTTCCTCAATGAACAAAACAAAAGGAGGCTCTGCTCGCAGGGTCAAGGATGCTAAGGTTTCTCACTACTTTAGCTCTTACGCAGAGGTTTTTTTCTACACGATATACTACATTAAGGCTAAAAACTACAACATAAAGCAACTATTGATCATTTTGCTGGAAGATACCAAATCCTATGGAGGCAGAAATTAAAGGAACGATACTCTACATTTGGGTATCCTTTGTACTTCGCCTTCACACTCTACTTGAGTATTTCTACTAAGATTTTCTACCCAGTTTAGGCTAATTTTTGAGCCAGCTTTGTTACGTTAGTGTTGAAATATCACACTTTAGTAAAATCCAACTGATGATCTATTATCAATGCTGCGTTCTGATTGGTTGAGCTACTACTACACCATAATTTATAGCCCACTAATAGCTAAAAGCGCCGGCTTTTTGACGGCAAAAAAGGATTAAAGTCTAGTTTTAACCAGCTAAGGTTGTTTTGTCTCGATATTATTGACCAACTTGTTGGTTTTTACTAAAAATAAAAAGAATTATTCCTCTCGCCCTCATAGCATCTGAGTCAATAGCCCATTCGACTTTCGGCTTCATGGGCTATTGGTAGTCTTTACACTAGAGCCTAAATAAGCTAAGAAATATTTCAAGACAAGTAATTTCACACACAACCTATCTTTTTTACCCCAGGTTTACTTAAGCCTATTTTCCCACGCAACATAATTAAGATTGATTTACATGCTTCGCCTTTCTCAAAGCTTAGAAACCGCAAGTTTGCTAAGTCGGTTTTAAGGATGGTTTTCAAGTCACTTGAAACTTTCTTGAATCGTTTCAACTTTCCGACTTTAATGAGATGCAAAGTAAAGTTACTTGAGATTTTACTTAGGCCTTCACACGTATTTTTTGGNATTTCTACTAAGATTTTCTACCCAGTTTAGGCTAATTTTTGAGCCAGCTTTGTTACGTTAGTGTTGAAATATCACACTTTAGTAAAATCCAACTGATGATCTATTATCAATGCTGCGTTCTGATTGGTTGAGCTACTACTACACCATAATTTATAGCCCACTAATAGCTAAAAGCGCCGGCTTTTTGACGGCAAAAAAGGATTAAAGTCTAGTTTTAACCAGCTAAGGTTGTTTTGTCTCGATATTATTGACCAACTTGTTGGTTTTTACTAAAAATAAAAAGAATTATTCCTCTCGCCCTCATAGCATCTGAGTCAATAGCCCATTCGACTTTCGGCTTCATGGGCTATTGGTAGTCTTTACACTAGAGCCTAAATAAGCTAAGAAATATTTCAAGACAAGTAATTTCACACACAACCTATCTTTTTTACCCCAGGTTTACTTAAGCCTATTTTCCCACGCAACATAATTAAGATTGATTTACATGCTTCGCCTTTCTCAAAGCTTAGAAACCGCAAGTTTGCTAAGTCGGTTTTAAGGATGGTTTTCAAGTCACTTGAAACTTTCTTGAATCGTTTCAACTTTCCGACTTTAATGAGATGCAAAGTAAAGTTACTTGAGATTTTACTTAGGCCTTCACACGTATTTTTTGGTTAAGTAAAACTTAGCAGCTTTTAAGTCTTACTTAACAGCCTAGTGTAAAGACAACCAATGACTCAGAGTCCATTCGGGCTCGAGGAATAATTGTTAAATAGGGTTTGCAAAAGGGATAAACATTTAAAAACAAACAGGGTTGGCCAAATTTAAGACCCTTCTCGATCTGCAGAACACTTCAGATCATTCTCAGCCTCGTCCTAAATGTTTTTAAGAACAGGTGTCGTTCAGTAGTCATAACGTAGCGGGTGATTACTAAATACAAGGATAAATAAGCTTTTCCAGTCCTAATAAGAAACGATGGAACCACTTAGCATATGTAACTAAGCTAACTTACCAATAAATGAACAGGCTTGTGCAGGCAATTGGTTTTTAGAAACGAAAGCAAAAATTACATTGAAATTCTACCGCTGTTCATGACATAACGGTCAACCCTTTTAACTGAACATGTGCGGCTGCTGAGTAAAATGTTTATATCATGATGATAGACTTAAGACTTCCCGTTTTTTAAGCATATGTTTGACAGTTCTTCTACCAGCTTCGATAGAGCAAGCAGAGGAAAAACGCAGGATTAGAATCCACAAAGCCACTTTCCAGGTATTTGCAAAATCTGTAAAAACTGTTTCTTTTTATTTGAATACCTAAGTCGTGCGAAAAAAAAGATAATTATGATACGATAATAAAGTTGGATGCATGAAGAGGAAGGTTAGGAAGGGATCGATGTGTAAAACTGAGTCATCC